CCATTAACCAATCAGATGAGTTGAATCTACCTGTTCAACAAATCAAATGCCAGTGAGAGGTTCGATTACGACGATTAACATTTTGCGCAAATTTACATGCGGATATAGACGATCAAATGTGCTTTACATCAAGTATGATACGCTTAGTCCTATTAAATTACATATTTAGCACACAGTAGATTATTTTATCTTTACAACAATTGCGATATTACTTTCTTAACTGTGTTTATCCTAACCCACCCAGTCAACCAGGGGCGTACCGAGACAGGGGGTGTTGGGGGTGTGACACCCCCCAGGTTTTGTCAAAATGGTCGGTAAATTGATTCAGAATAGATAGTCATGGTCGGTTTTTAAAATAAGGCGGTCGGTAATTTTGGAAGTCATGATATCAGCAATCGTATAGTATAGAACAAACCGAACAATTGGACGACCGACACGCGATAAAGAAAACACTACCGGAATTAAGAAAGGTCAATCATAATAAAAAAAACAAAATAAAAAATATTATATGACAGTATTTATAAGATATTAGTAAGATTTGCATTGTTGCATACTTCATATAACTATAATCATGACACGACCGCGTCAATGTCTGGAGCATACAACGGTGCACAAGCAAAGTTTAGCGAGCATTTGGAACGGAACATTCCCTACATCACTTGCATGGGCCACAAGGCAAATCTATGTGTCGAGCATTGTTGCCAGCCTTCCTCGCTCATCGACAAATTTTTTACTACTTTGCAAGATCTGTATAACTTTCTTACAAAGAGTACCAGCCGCTTTGGTAAACTAAAGGACAAGATTGAAGAGTTACAAGAAGGTTTGATTATGAAAAACCTATCGAAAACGCGATGGATTGGAAGAGCAGAATCAATACGTGCAGTGTGGTTGAGCTACGAAGTTTTGCTTGATGTTCTTGCAGAAGTCGAGAACTTTCAAGGGAGTGACAGAGATGCCAGAAAGACAGCGAACGATTTGTCGGAGAAAATACAGTCATTTGATTTTTATTTCTGCATGTTGTTCACGAAGAGGTATCGGGTAACCCAATTCTTGTTAATAACGTTCCAATACCCAGGACTGAAAATTATACTTGCCTTGGTGTCAACATTGACGAAAAATTGACCTGGGAAAAACATATTGATATGATATGTTCAAAAGTCAGTGCGGGAATCGGTGCTATAAGACGTGAATTGATGTACAATGCTATTGTGCAGGCCTACTTTGATTACTGCAGCCCTCTCTGGGACAACTGTGGAATAGGCCTCAAGGACAGGTTGCAGAAATTTCAAAATCGGGCTACAAGAGTAATTTCTAGTGCGACTTACGATGTTCGGTCGGTTGATTTACTTGAAAGCCTGGGTTGGAAACATCTAGAACTAAGGCGAACTTATCTAAAATCTGTTTTTATGCCTTCCGTCTCAACGAATGATCTTAAACTATGTATTATACATGAAGACATTACTTCCCACACACGCATTATCGGCTTGGGTGTTGCATCTCCTGAGCTCCGTTTACTGGGCGGTGTACTGAATAGAACACTGTAAATAATTCACGCTATAA